CGCGCAAGGGAAGGAACTATCCACACGTGAACTACTTGTACTAATGTGTAGCAAACCGAACGAACTTTGGGGGGGGGGGGCGTTATTCCGAGAGAGAACAAGGACAAAAAAGGCTAATCTTGAGAGGTCACACAGCGTATGGCTTCACTTAAGTAACAGTGTAGCAATGACAAACGTCCGGAGAAGAACGGATGAGCGGATCAGAGCAGGCAGGGGAGGGTATCTCAAGAGCTCCTTGCGGTGAGTTTAAGGGCTTGAACGAGATGCTGGCATGTGACAGAGCGCCGTTGAATGGTACACACAGACTTTGTTTTGTTTTGTTTTGAAAAAAAAGGACAGTCGACCCTCGCACAGCAGGGGTTTGAACCGCGTTGGTCCATGTAGAAGTGGACTTTTTGTGATAAATACAGTAAATGTTATCTTCTCTTGCTTGTGCTTTTTTTCTTTCTTTTAGACACAGAGAGTGCGTGCGTGTCCGGGTGTGTGAGTGACGGAGGGAGGGGCGGAGACGGAGAGAGAGAATCTCAAGCAGGCTCCACACTTAGGTCTGAGCCCGGCATGGGGGCTCGATCCCATGACCCTGGGATCATGACCTGAGCCAAATTCAGGGTTGGACACTTATCTAACTGAGCCATCCAGGCACCCCTGATTTTTTAAAAATTTAATTATGTATGTATGTATGTATGTATGTATTTAACTCTACACCCAACGTGGAGCTTGAACTCATGACCCTGAGATTAAGAGTCACGTACTCCAATGACTGAGCCAGCCAGGTGTCCCTCTTCCTTATGAGTATTTTTTTTTAATGTTTATTTATTTTTGAGAGAAAGAGAGAGACAGAGTGTGAGTGGAGGAGGGGCAGAGAGAGAGAGAGAGAGAGAGAGAGAAGGAGGGAGACACAGAATCTGAAGCAGGCTCCAGGCTCTGAGCTGTCAGCACAGGGCCCGACGTGGGGATCGAACTCATGAACTGTGAGATCATGACCTGAGCCCAAGTCAGACGCTTAACTGACTGAGCCACCCAGGAGCCCCCTTATGATTTTCTTAATAACACTTTCTTTCTTCTAGCTCCCTTTATTGTATAGACAGCATACGATACACATATCACATAAAATACGTGTGAATTAACTGTTTACGTTATCGGTAAGGCTTCTGGTCAGTGGCAGGCTATCAGTGAAGTTTTTGGGGATTTAAGAATTATATGTAAATTTTCGACTGTGCTGGGGGGAGTCAGTGCCCCTAATGTTCATGTTGTTCAAAAGTCAACTGTATATGCAAAACAGGTAAAATCCATGTAAGGTCCACAGACAGTCATTGTACCATGACGACGTCAATTTCCTGCTTTTGGTAAAGTACTAGCATTACCCCAAATGCCACCATTGGGGGAAGCTGGGCGATGGGTCCATGGGACCTCTACTGTCTTTGTGACTTCTTGTGAGTCTGCAATTAACTCAAAGGACAACAGTTTAATTAAAAAATATGTTAATTTGTCATCGGGGCGCCTGGGTGGCTCGGTCGGTTAAGCTTCTGACTCTTGATTTCAGCTCAGGTCATGATCCCAGTGTCATGGGATCAAGCCCCTCCACGGGCTCTGGACTGAGTGTGGAGCCTGCTTGAGTTTGTCTCTCTCCCTCCCTCTGCCCCTCTCTCCCACTTGTGCTCTCTCTCTCTCTCT